TTTAGTTATCTAGTCAATGTTGGTTGTAGAAAAAGGTTTCTCCAGGTTATGTAGTCTGTTAAGGTTTGCTATTTGTTTTAGGATTTTTAAGATCCTTATAAAGCTGAATAAAATTTGTCAATAATTTGCATATTTGTACTGCACATACATAAGGTAACATAATAGCCAAGTTAAATTTTTCTAAAACAAGTAATTTATCATTTCTCATTAATGCTGTATGATTCCAGGTTTTGATACAAAATCTTGCCAAAAATTAAACTTTACCCCAATATTATGCATTTTGTAACATATATTAGCTCTTGTATTATCATTAAAATTTTTATTTTTCTTACATTCTTGCAATGCTAATCCCAAAGTCGATCATAAATTTATAATAGAATGTGTAACTTATCAACAACCTAGTGAGTCATTGGAATCATTAGAAATAATAGCAATTTAATATGTCTGGAATAAGTATTAACTTTTTTAGAAATTTGTTCTATTGATTTATTTATTATCCATTTTTTTTCTTATCACCCAGATCTTTTTTTGAACAGTTACACTAGAGGCAAAAAAAAATTAAATTTGCTACATTGAAGCCAAGAGAAATCGCTAGAAACTTCCAATCAGAACTAAAGTATAGTTCTATATTTCAATGTTTTTTATAGTGATCTTTAATTTTATTATTTTTTAAGTCCGTAAGATCATAGAATAATAGCATTAAACTAACTTTAAACATTTCATAATTCTCAGTTCCTGGATATAATGCTAATATATAATGATTATCAGGTTGGTATATATTGTTATTATTATTAAAAATAGTGAAAGTAATCATCACATGTATAATTTTATGTTCAACATTTCTTCCATCTTCAGAGATTCGAATATGAATTGTTGAATCTTGATTAGTTAAAATATTTATAGAAATCCAAACTAGAATTAAATATAATAAAATATGTTTTATATTTCTATATCTATATTTACTGACTGATTTTATAATATTTTCAATGATTTGTGGATCATTAACATGTAATTCATCCAATTCATCTCCTCTAATTAATATTGAACATTTTTATTAGAATTTGATTTTTATTGTATTATTAATTTTATTTTTAGTAGTTGCAATTATATATTCTCTGGGTAATTCAAATAAAATTGCAGCTAAAGATCGATAGGATTCACATGATATATTTCCTTAATCAAGAGCACAAACAATTTCTTCAGCCTCTCATTTTTCTTTTTCTTTATTCTTAGAATTAAAATTGATAATCCAAGTCTGATTTGAAAGTTTATACATTAAAGATTGCAAAGTAGGATTATCATCAGAATGATAAAGACATTTATATTTTTCTTTAAAAATTTGATGTACTGATTTAGCAATTTTAGTGGCTCGATCTCTTTGAGCTAATACACCTAAATTGCTAATTAGTTGTAATATTCTAGAATGTTGTTTTTTAATTTGTTTCTTTTCTACTGGCTCTAAT